TCGAGCCCCGTCCGGTATACATATTTGTCTCTCTTAGGCCCTGCCCGCTGAACACATACAATCTTATAACATGCTAACACATAAAGAAACATACTCTGCTGTCCTAAAAAACATATTCTGCTAATAATGAGATACGGAACATCGTCCATACTCAGCTAGTGATGAGATACGGGACCTCGCCCACACTCACCTCTTTACCAGACATATACAAGTATCACACAGACAACAAGTATAATCTAACATGCAAACATTCCTCAGGCACCCACCTGACATCAGACCTTGGTCTGGAATAACATACTAGTATACAATGTCTAGGGTTAACCCCCGGGTTTTCATACTCATAGACTACATGGGCTGACATTGTGACCTTAGATCCATTCACACAGTGAGGAGACTCACCTTGCACTGCTGAAGCCTTGGCTGGAACTAGCTGAGTACGGGCGAAGTTCCGTATCTCATTATTAGCAGATTATGTTTCTTAGGACAGGGATACAATAGAGTATGTTTCTTTATGTGTTAGCATGTTATATGATTGTATGTGTTTAGCGGGCGGGGCCCGGAGATAGGCGGGGCTTAAGAGAGACAGATTTGTATACCGAGCGGGGCTCGATGCCAGGCGGGGCCTGATGCCGGGCGAGGCCTGATGCCGAAGTATTAAATTAATGGTTTGACAATTATGGTTTTAATATTAAATTAAAAACGAAATTTATGGTCATCATTTTTGGGATGTTACATAGTTAAAACAAGTTAGTTGCTTTCTTATGTACAAAAAATAAGAAGTTGTCAATATGTGAACACGGATACGAGGTAGTTACCCTCCTATGTCATTTTTCCTTTGAGTTACCGGTTAAAACAAATATTAGCCGGTAATATTTGTGTAATTTAAATAGTTAAAACAAGTTAGTTGCTTTATTATGTACAAAAAAAAGAAGTTGCTAATATGTGAATACGGATAAGAGGTAGTTACATTCCTAAATCATTTTCCCCCCAACTAAATGGTCCCTTATATCTATATTGACACAAAGAGAACTCTTGTATCACAATACAATAAAAAATAACAGATTTTTTAGGGACACTTTTACCAAGATAACATTGTTTCTGAACAACCAAATATGTCACCACATGACAAGGAACACAGCTTCAAGAAACTCCTTTTGAAGTTTGGAAATCCGAATACTAGCAAACCGCGATAACCAATCTCTATAACACAAAATGATCGGCATAGTAAAGTCCCACCAACGAATACAAAAAGAAATGGCGATCGAGTCAACACCTTTATCACAAATAGGGCATTACAATGAAGGAATTTGTATCCACCTCCTAAAAAGAAACAGACGAGGAGGCAGAACTATGCATCGTCTAAGTTAGAAAGAAACTTAAATATCATATTTGATATCATATAACATTACATTTGGTGTAATGTGTATTATTCACCTAGATTACATTTGGTGTAATGTTTAGTGTAAGGATTGTAAAAATACAATAGATGCATTGCACTAAAACTCAATGCAATTTATGCCAACTTCCGACTTAAGTTTGTATGTTCAAAATCATATATTTATATTTAAAAGGAGTATTCCCGTTTTCAAAAGACTTTCCCGAAGGTGGTGCATCATTTACAAAGTGTTTTGTCTTGTTTTGCGAACGACACTATATTACTCTCTTATGGTTACTCATGATTGAAACCTTCAAGATTTAGGCAATTTTTGATGGACTAGAAACTTAGTTTATAAAAAGTAATGTTTGGTGAAACTAGATGATAAGCTAATTGAAATGTATAAAATAACATAAAAACATAAAAAAAAAACATATCAAAAACTGAGTTTTTTTTTTTTTTTTTTTTTTTTTTTTTTTTTTTAATTGACAAAAATAGAAATAAACTGATTTTGACTCACAAAATATAGCCTTAAATTTGAGTCTTCTACGAAGACCATAAGATAACTTATTTATCTATTTCTTATTTAATGTATGTTATCCGTGGTTCTAAATGAACCCAATGCCCAAAAGTATTAATTTGGACCATTTGTTATTGGAACAATCATGTTTGGACGACACGTGTCGGTAAGAGTCGTATTTAGCATTTACAATTAAAGAACTTTACAATCAAAACGTGATAAATGAAGATTCAAGATTGGCAAATTTAGGTGTGTTTGGAAAGCGAAAGAGAAATTTAGGGGAAAAGAAGTTTGATAATACCTTTATTTTTAGGTGTTTTTAAAAGTTATCGAAAAACAACTTAGAATTCAGGTTTTGTTTTCATATGCTCTACAAAATAGAATATATAATGATTATTTGGATCCAACAGCAGCTCTTCCAACACATACACCTTTGGTTTCTTGGCCACTCAAGTCAATACTCCCAACAAAGTAGCAAATGTTAGTTGACAAAAAATTAAATATTAAGTTTAATCAAGGACAAAAAAATGATGAAAGTGTGATTAATAAACTAATCATGCACAAGTAATTAAAGTTAAAATGTTAAAAATATTATATTTTAAATTTAAACAGTAGTTTACTACGCCTTTTATGCCTCACTTTTTTCAACAATTATAAATAATAAAAAATATACTTTAAATATTCGCTCAAGCCAAATCCATTCTTTTAGTTCGGATTTCAACTTAAGAGCACAAATTGACTTTAAACTTTTATAATAAAAAAACCCATCATTTACTTTGATTTTGAAAACATAAAAGGCAAGAGTAAATTACATGAATGGTCCCTATGGTTTGGGGTAATTCGTACGTTTGGTCCATAATTTACTTTTTTAACTCGGAAGGTCTCTACTGTTTGTTTTTGTTACGCGTTTGGTCCCTTCTATTTGTTTTTGTTACGCGTTTGGTCCCTGTTTTACCTAAAAAAACTATTATTTGAACATGGAAAAATAATAGGATAGGTAGGGTAAGGTGAGGGGAGTGGGGTTGCGAGTGTGTTTATTCTACCGACTCGCCTAGAATAATGGATAAATTATTTGTGAAAGGTAAAAGAGCCTCATCTTTCTGAGCTTGGGTGGGATTAAGTGATCTTTGTTGATGAACAAATCATTTATCAAGAGCCAATACCTATAAAATTCATATAGAACTTTGTTGAAGTAAATATTATTAATACCAAGGAATTAATGAGCAAAATGGCAATGCACTTTTTTTGGTTTGTTTTCTTCCTATTACATCATTATACTTAAAAAAAATCTACTAAAAATATTGAAGTGAGCAGATTTATCAAAAACACAATCCTTTGATAAGAAAGATATTAGATAAAACATATGAAAACAGATTGCCATTTCAAGCATCACTGACTAAGGGCATCCTCTTCATGTGTTTCTTCAAATAGGAGACAAAGCTACTCTATTAAATATTTTATTTCAATTTTCAATCTATTTTATTCACGATCAGTTCTTGCATTTTCTTTTTGGGTTATAAATAACAATGCAAGTTATCATGAAGCAAAAAAATGTATTATCATAAGAGTGAAAATCCAAACCCAAGTATCTCAACCAGGGAAAGGAAAACCCTAACTTCCCTCATCACAATAGCTTCACAGTCCCTGGATATTCAAATTTGTACATATGGATACTAAGAACAATCAATGTATAAAAGGAATTATTTTATAGAATTGTAAGTGTACATAAATAGATATTCTATCAAAACCAATTGTCACATTTTTATTCCATGGATACACACAAATACACATATACATTAATACATATACAAACACCACAAACGTATTAAAACAGAAAAAAAAATTGAAAAGAGGAAGGTCAATTGTAACGACCTATCATGGTTTCCTTTGTCAAGGCCATTTAAAAACCAAAAGTTAGCATTCATGGAAAATTAAAGCTCAACATAAGTTTTTTCAGTGATATGAAAATTTAGATAAATTTCCTATAATCATCGCTAGCAACATCTTTAGCTTGAAGTCGAGATTGTAATTAACATTCCTGCAAGAGAAAGTGCTCTGAAAACGAATAGTAACCGAAAATCGTAAAATTATTCTTTATAATTTAAAAAGGGTCATACCTTAAATAAATAAACACTCATGCTCTGATTCACTCAACTACATAAAACTGAAAAAGCATTAACTCAACAAGAGAGAACTGAATAATATGAAAAAAAAAAAAAACACTGATAGTGATGCGGTCTTCCTTCACAGCTCCGACTCAATCTTTGGTATGGGGTCAGAAGGTATCTACAATGTCACAAGAGAAAATAGCCGTCAGCCGCTTCCCGGGAGGAGGCTCCTGGAAGAATGCTCCGACGGTCAAGTTAGATAAAGTTTGAGGTGTTCTTGGTAGGAATTGCTCGGAGAAGAGTTCTTACCTTTAGGGGCTCCTGATAGCGCCCTTTTATACCTAGCGACCTCTCCCGTCCGTACCGGACAAGATCACTTTTAGGGGACAAGGTCAAAGACGCTGATTGGAGGATTGTGCGCCTCTTTCTGTTAGAGTACTGCCATTGGCTCTGATTGTAATGCTTTGATCCTTTGCCTTGTCGCATGACCATATCCTTTGTCTTGACGCAAGGAGCGTCCCTGGCGGGCGCGAGCCTTTCACCGGGGCGCCCTGCTCTTAGGGGCGCTAGTAGGCACTGAGCCCACATCTCTTTGGTTCGGCCAGGGCGCCAGGTTTCTTGGCCGGGGGTGACTCTTTCATGCCGGATTAGGCACGTCATCAAGTCCCCCAGTCTAGTAGCCGCAACGTTGTACTACTAGATACGGCGTCCTGGGCTTGATAGCCTTACACGTGTTGTTTCTTCGTTCGCTCGCCGTTTCAGTTTTAATGGTGACGTGACCGCTCATGATGGCCAGCGGTTTCGTCATCGTGTCAGACATTTTGAACATCCCACCCTTTCCATTTTCTTATAAGAGTCTTCATCATAACTTCTTATCTTCGTTTCCTTTCCCTTTCTATTCTTCTTCTTCAACTCCATTTTCTTTTCTTTCATTCCATGGTGAGTCCCCCTAGCATTGTGCCCTCTGCTTCTGAGTACGCGTATCTTGAGACCACTTATGGTCTCACTTCTCTCGATGGTGTGGAGTTCCTTTCACCAAGTTCGTCGATCCTCTCCCCTCTCTCCCGAAAAAGTCGGAATCTACCAAAAAACCATGGATGTTGGTCTCCTTCTTCCCTTAACCGATTTCCAGGAGGAGGTGCTTCAAAGAGATGGTTGCAAGGTTCAAATGCTAACACCAAATGTTGTGAACAAGGTTGTCGCTTTTGAGATGATCTGCCGGGCTAATGAGTATCTTCCTGATTACTTCGTGTTTAAGTACTTCTTACACTTTTGTTGCACTGGTGATAAATACATGTGACATCCTTAATTTCATGACCAGAAAAGACCGATTTGTTTATACTTTGTTTTATAAAATCAAAGTAATCATTTGATTAATAGAGTTGCGGAATTTGTTCCCAAAACAAAATATGATAAAATTTATCAAAACGTTTCTCAAGAGAATGTATTTTCATTAAATAATAAAACCTCGGGATGTCATGTTCCGATACAGACCAAAAGCATAAACAATATAAAATAGACCTTATAACAGTTATTTATAACTACCGATCTATAATCCAAAATCTCTCGTCAAGTCCACCAACTTATACCCTTGTGCCATTACCTGTAATGCAAGGAAAACTGAGTGGGTCAGGCTTGGGAGCCTGGTGAGCATATAGGGTTTTCAACCCACAATAATACATTTATTATATTCAATTATCAAACAATCAACCCAAATACCCAAATACCCATCCCCATATCTCCTTTATTTTCTCAAGGGTTTACCCTAAGAACCAACTATCATTCATTCCTAAGGATTTACGTAAGGAACTGGCACAAAGTCCATTTGCTACCACAATTTATACAACAGGCACTACATCACATAGTCACCAGGGTTCATATAATAGGCACTACGTCTCATAGTCACCAGGGTTTACACAACCGGCACGAAGTCACATCGTCACCAAGGTTTATCAAATAGGCACGAAGTCGCATCGTCACCAACTATTCCATCTACCCATGTTTTACCCAACATTTATGTAGATATAAATACAAACGCAGTTTAAATCATTTAACACCTGTATAAAAACATCAATTCCAAGCCCATCTCAAATAGACAAATAATATATAACACATAGCATGTATTTTATAGCTAATACTTTATATTTATGTGTTAGAAGAAAGTAACTATACACTCACTTAATCAGAAGATAATCGGACAACACTACGACTTGTAGAAGTAGTATTCTTCGGTAGATCTGGAAGATCTTCACAAAAATTGGCTTCTCGCGGGCAGAGCTTCGGCTTGGGAATTTCACTTCTCGGGATCTTCGGGGATTCAGGACTTGCTTCGGGTCTCGGGAATGATACGGGGCTTCGGGGTATTTCTTGCACGCCAAACAAGGTAAAAACGCGAGAGAAAGGGAAGAATGGAGCACCAAAATTCGACTGCACTCAACATTTATTTATAGGGGCTGAAACACCGAATTACGCTGGGCGTAACTTGGATAAGGTCGCTGACTCCCCCCCCCCCCCCCCCCCTTCCTTTTGGATAATATCGAAATTTATAACTAAATTTAATAATTTAATTGTTTAATAAATTTCAAAAATTCATATATTCCTCATACAAACTCCATTTTCAATGTTCTTTATATCCACGCGTAGGTGAGACTACGCTCTACAACTTTCGTTTAGACTCCGTTGGCTAATTTTGAATTTATTTTTAGTAGGCCGGGACAAGAAAACTCCGTTATAAATTCATAAATTCTTTACCCGACGTCCGTTTTTGTCTGTCTTTTTACTGTTGCACTACTATCAACAAGATCTTCAATTCTTGTTTAGATTGTTTCGGCTAAAAACCGCTCGATCTCAAATCGAGTATTCTGGTTGCATACCGCTAAGTCGAAACTTAGAAAAATCATAACTTCCTCATACGAAGTCAGATTTGGACGTTCTTTTTATGCACGGTCGTGGTTTAACAAACTATACGACTTTCGTTTAGATTGCTAAGGCTAAATATCACTCTAACATAAATTTATTTTTTACGTTATTCAGCATCGTGCCGGTTCTGTCGCGAAATTTCGACAGGTCATAACTTCTCCGTTATAACTCGGATTTCAGCGTTCTTTATATGTACGGAATCCTTGTAACATATACTACAACTTAGTTAAGATTATTCCTTCAAAATAATGTTCCATCAAAAACTTATTTTTGACGCTTATTGTCCTTAAATTGACTAGCCCTAATCTACGGACGTTACAATACACGTTTTCTGTTTGCCGGGGGGGGGGGGGGGGGATACTCTAGTGCCTGACGGCCGGACGCCCAAAAACTGGCAAGATAAGTGGTTTTGGGTTAATCAGGGTTTGGTGGGTAGCGGAACCTATTGTGCTAATGCTTTTGCTGATACTACCCCCAAACTCTTCCCCCATAACCAGGGCGTGACCGATCTTCTTAAGAATGTCTAGGTATCTCCCGAGGATTATTCTGAGGCCCTTCTTGTCGGTGTAGGAATGAGTCCGTCTTGGAGGCATCGCGGAAAAATGGCAGCTTTCTTCCTCATTGTTGGTGGTATGTATCTGTGTTTTTCCTTTGTTTATTAGTGTTAGGGTTTTACTCTTTGAAAGTCTTCCCCTCCTAACTCTTTCTTTGATGTCTTGATATTTATAGGAAACGAGTCTCCTTTGTCTATGGATGAGGTGCTCTAGAAACGCTACAAAGGTAAACTAGAGCATCGGGAAGTGGATCTGGTTGAGCATCTCCCTCCTCCTATCCGCTTGGATCAGCTTGCTCTGACTGCTGCTATGCCTATTCGTCCATCGATGAGTGAAAATCTATCATCTGCCGAAGTGGACCCCCTTGCAGTTTGCCCTCTTTCCTCTATCATGACTTTGGGTGGTGCTCACCTTACTTCCTACTAAAATAGCAAGGATGATGTTATCGCTGATGCTCGGCGGCTGCAAGCCAAGCAGAAAGCTATTTTGGCCATAAGGGAGTCGGTTGTTGGTGCGACCAATGTCGCCAAGCGAATTCAGACTAGGCGTAGCTTTTCGCATCTTCTGAGTTCGATTTCTTCGTCACCGACGACTGTCGTTGTAGTCCCTGATGATGACATTCCCCAGTCTGAAGGGATTGGTGGGGTACATAAACAACCCATTGTTCTTGCTCAGGTCATTCCTTCTTCTTCTGTCAATCCTTCTCCTTCAAAGGACCTTCGTGATCCGGATCCAACTCCTGTTTCTCCTCTCAAGGACTTGGGTGGGGAGCCTTCAGGACCTTCTCCTTTTATCCCCTCTTGGAATCTTCACAATGAGTCTCGTCTTTCTATTTGTGCTAATGCTTTGGAGTTTTCCCGGTATGCCTTTCCTCCGGCCGTCGTTGCTGATATGGAGGCCATGAGTAGTCCCGCCCTTACCCATAACATGACCTATGTTGCTGTACAGTCTATGTTTTATCTTGTTGCCGGATCACAGCGCATTAAAATGTTCAACGAGGTGGAAACGGAACATGCTGGTTGTGGGCAGAGCAGTCTATGTAGAAGGCAGTTCTTTGCTCGTTGTCTTTGTTCATCAAGATCTGATGATATCCTTTATATGCATCTAGGAAGCACTTTAATTTGAAACCTTGTAATGATTCTACCTTCTGGTTGATTTCTGGTAGGACAGAGCAGTCCTTAGGGAACACTTTGTTAAGATCGGAGAAGTCGATGCACATGCACCTGTTGGATTAATGTCTAAGTCCATAACTATATTTGGTATGTACTTGACCCGACCCGACATGGTCCATTTGGGTTGCATGGCATCATGCACTTGGATAGACTAAATGAGAGAAATAAGACACTTATGGTTATTAATATATTATAAGTTCTAATATATTAATAATAAGAATAATAATATATAATTAGTATTGATCAAGAATTAATTTAGAATTAATTATGTGATCAAAAGGAGAATAATTAAATATATGGGTTGATTGTGTAAATCATCCATAACTTATATAGTGGGCCAAAGCTCCATGTATAATCAGTTTGGGTTAAACCCATAGGATGCTCCATGGAGGTTACATAACCCATGAGTCATGGAAATGAAAGTTCATGACAATTAGGGTTTACATGGTGTAACCCTAATTGTAACACACTATATAAGCATCATATTATTCACCAAAATCGGCCACTAGAGTGTGTGTAAGAAGGACTAGCCGATTTCATGAAGTGTGGATTTCTCTCTAAGTTATTCCAAGAGCATTTGATGTTGTGTGAGCCATTCGAGGTGTCTCATTTGAGGCAATAGGCACTCAAGCCCCATGGAGTCAAGCTCCACTACAAGAGGTATGTATTCTATCTATATTATTACCTAAATATCTATGATTGTATGCTAGATAGGGTAATACCTTGGAATATTAGTATTTGCATGTATATTATAGAAAACATAGATCCAAGGTATTTAGGGTTGCATGTACACCATAGGAGTGTTAGAATGCTCAAAACCCAATAGCACCATGACCCATCATATTTCCGTACCATGATGGGATTGGCTGTCCAAGTCGGGAAGATTGCTTCTCTCAAGATCCCTGCCTTTGTCAGTTTAGCCACCTCCATGTTGATCGCCCTATTACAGTCCCCTCCTTGAACCCTCTTTTTCTTCTTAACTTTCTTTATGCCTGGTTTAATCATGAGTTTGTGCTCTATGATCTTCCGGTCTACGCCAACCATGTCTGTGGGGTCCCATGCAAACACGTGTTTGTATTGTCTGGGGAGATCAACGAGTGCTCGTCTGGTGTGCCCTAGGAGGTTGCAGCCGACACTGATCGTCTGATCGAGGTGCTCTTCATTGATCACTTCTTTCTCGTCTTCCGGTACGCCCCGTGCCTTTTTGGTGTCCCTTGTCATCTCGGCTGGTTGCATGATTCTAAGACATTGCAGTTGTCTTGGTGGTGTGGCCAGGATTGTAGCTGGCCCTTCGCTAGTGTTGAACTTCACTATCTCATGCATTGTTGATGGGATCTCTCCTAACTTGAGCAGGGATGGCCTTCCCAAAATGATGTTATGTTTTTCCGAGTGTCGAATTACAACAAAATCATTCAAAACCGTTTTCCTCCGTTGCTTGTCATGACTAGTAAGCGTAAGGAGGAGGTGGATGGTGCCTAATGGCCATAGACTATGTCCCGTGAATCCGACCAACCTTCCCGTTGTAGGTCTTAAGCCCTCCTTCCACCTGTCTGGGAGGATATGGAAACAATGCTCGTAGATGATGTCCACTGAGATACCTGTGTCGATATACACTTTGTGTATGACCACGTTCTTAATAAAGGCTTGGATTATGG